TATCGGAAAAGACTCGACTTATCCAACTTCGGTCTCCTTGGTCTAAGTCCAATTTTCGTTCATTCGTTTTGAACATGATAAAATTTCAATCAAAATTGTTTTATCACAAAACATATAAAATTCACATAATGTGGTTGAGCATTATCATATTAAATCATCATTAAATGTTTTAAACACTTTTTGTATCAATTAATAAAAATTTTGGAAGACTATATTACTTAGTAGACATCGGGCTCGGGTTCTAGAATTTGGGTTTGTTGGGCCTAATAAACTCAATTGCCCGCATTTTGCAGCCATTCAAAAAAATGTCATTTATTTTTTTGATTTCTTTTTCTGAAAACAACAAAAACGATTTTTTAAAATTAATCAGATTGAAATCATTAAAATGCATTAAACAATAACTCAAAAAACAAACTTGAATTTTTATTGAGTTGAAAAACTAAATTCTTTTATTTGTAATTTTTTTCTTTTTTATTGTTTAAAGTATTATGAAAAAAGGCAAAATAATACAAATTAAACAAATAATTTTTATCAGTCAAGAAATAATTACATTTCTTTAATTTTAACTTCAAAAAGTTAAATACATTTAAATAATTAAACAAAAATGTTTTAAGTTGTACTATTCTAGTTCAAAACAGCTATCTTAATTAATTAGTTAATATATTTAAACAAATAATCTTCATCATGATAAGATAATACACTTTTAATTTATTAATATATTGATAATCTAATTACTTTGAAAAATCAAAATATATTTATTGTCATATAAATGTTAAAATAATTTAATTCGTTTGTCATTATTTTATTTATTAATGACCGATGCTTTTAAGCCAAAAATATCAACATCAACAGATGTTAAATTAAATAAATAAATAATAAAAACTGTTATTGTGTATTTACTTTAATCATTTTAATATAGATAACAAACTTTGATTGTTTTATGTAAACATTTTCGAGAAAAATCTTTTGTGCTTGTTTGAATTAATTAAATACAAAAATAAACAATCAATAAACGTGCAAGTATTAATTCAATGGTACATTTTGAATCAAAAAGTACTTTTAAAAACCAGTTTATAATTAATTATAGGTGGTCTATAAACTGGTTGGTAAATTTATTAGAAACTTTTAAGGGAAAAAAACAATATTTACACGTATTTTGGAAAAGAAAAACCCTGCTCTGCAGTTTTGGGAAGTATAAAACATGTTAATTTCTATTTTTGTTGTTTTGCAAATTTAGAAATTAATAAAAAACCAATGAAACCAAAAAACAACCAATGAATAAGAACAAATCATTTATATTTTTTGTGGATAAAATATATTATTTCGGAAGAGAATTGCGTTCTCTTTTTTATCATATAACACATATTTAAACATTTTGTTCACACACTACACAAAAAGTGGTCAACGACCGTGGCAAATTAAATTATCTCGCTCTCACACACATTGTATATTATATTTTATCACAACCTCTCCTCGCATATTATAAATATCGTAATGAATGACTGTTTTGAGTTCAAAATATTTTTTTTATAGTCCAAAATTCTATTTTTTCAATCTGTTGACTTTTTAATCCATTCTTATTTTATGTAATTTTATATTATTTAAAATATATATCAAAACGTAACAACATTTTTGATTAATACAATTAATATTTTAATATAATAAATTATTAAATTTTATTTGTTTATCGAGATTCATTTTAAATTATTATGGCAATAAATGGCGATTAAAATATTTATTGAAAGCATTTTAATAAAAAACATTATTTTTATAAAATGTTTTTACTTAAGATGTTTGTTATATTATACTATTATATGCAAAATTATTAATAATATATATTATGCTTATTAATTAGTTCATAAAATTATTATTTTATTAAGAATAATTATTCAAACATCAACTTATTCTTTAATAAATAACAGGGATCAGCACACAACCTTCAAATGGTGTATTTAACATGTTGTTAACAGCTTTTTATTAACAACAAAATTCACTCTTGATATCCAAGAATGTGTTTATTAAAGTTGACTTTATTAATTTTTATAAAACTAAAACAATATTATAATTTACTATCAATAAAACTATTTATTTTTCATTTTATTTTCAAAAAATCAACAACCTTACAATTATTAATGTTGTGCATTTACCTATCATTCATTTCAATTTATTTATTCAATAGATGTTATCAAAAAGTCCATTACAACATTTTGAAATTCCAATTTTTCAAAATAAAAAGTATAAATTATTTTTACAGGTATTCGTTTTTTAACTTTTTAAAACACATATTTTACATATTACCCTTTATAACGAACAATAATATTATAATCTTATCCCAAATGTATCATATATAACACTTTGTGTTTAAACGTATTAAAATAAATATCATCGTTGAGAGAAACGATGACTATTTTTTAGATAAATACAAAAACAAAGGTTTCATTTTTCTCTCCAAAAAACAAAAATTATTGCAAATTTTTACCCGTCACTTCGCAACGGGGTTGTTACAAAACACTATTTGTAAAAACATATTTTTAAAAGTTACAAATACAATACTTGACTTACAAAAAGCGTTCATATTATTGGCCAGTTAATAAATCCATTTTCCTTCCACAAACAAATAAATCAAAATTGTTCCAAAAAGTGAGCGAAAACGGAAAATCAAGGGTTTTTGTTTTTTTGAATAATAACAATAAATATTAATTGATTATGTTTTACATTGTATTAATTTCGAAGTTTTGGAGCCTTCCTTAACTAGTTTATGGATCCCAACCAGTTTATAGACCCCCTATAGTGTTATTATCAAAAATGTAAATACAAATAATAGGTTAATTTATTAATGTATTTATTGAGTTGTTAAATATAAATATTCAATTTGAATACACACCAAATACAACAACAGATATTTTTTTGTTTTGAAAACAACACAATCTAAATAGTAATTCTTTATATCAAGTGTTTGATTGTCTATTTAAAATGTAAAGAGTTGAAACAATTGAGTAACTTACAAATAAATTTTATCTTTTTATTAAACAAAAATGTTAAAGTAATTATCACCACTAATTAATGGGTTTGTATTTCAAATTATATGTATATAATGCAATACATGTCTTTAGTCGACATCAATAATTCAATAGTTAATTCACATATCTTGAACGACCTATAATAATCTTAATTATTTTTGTTCATATTATTATTTTGTGTATTTTTTACATTATTGATTAAGAATTGTTTAATAAAGTTTATTAACATTGTTAAAAATGTTTGTAAAATATATTTTCAAAAAACACAATAAAATATTTACCATTTTGCAATTCATAATTATAAAAATATATTATGATTTCCAAAATTTCATGTTTTTATATATTTTTAAACTTAATACATGTGCATTTGAAATATTTTTTATAATAATTAATTTTTTGGAAAAAAATGTTTAAAATGGCAATATTTTACTAATGCCAGAGTTTCCCAAGTGTTGGAAAACGGAAGCAGATTTGATAATTTTTGTTTTTGTCATATCAAAAGAAATTATATTAAAAAAATAATTGGAAAAAAAAGTTTGTTGGTAAATTCTGTTTTTTTATTAATTGATTCAAAAATAGAAATGAACGAAATTCCTATTAATAAGTGGTAATCCTAATAATAATACCCACAAAAACAACCAATCAATTTAAAATGTTGTTGGATTGTTTAAACAAAATTGATGTAAATTTAACTGTAAGAACGGGCATATGAGCTACATTTTTATTGTTATTTCTAAAATAAATAACCAATTAATTTATTAAATAATTATTATACCAATTTTAACGCAACAGATAAAAAACAAATCAATTACAGGCTTGGCAACTCAAGAATCAACTAAAAACCACAGTCCACACGTACAACATCGTGTACTTTATTGTGGGCAGGTAGGCCAACATCAAAACCTTTTTCGAACTATGAAAGGGTTTTTATTCAAGTCAACTTTAGTTGTTTATATTTGTTCTCAGATCGTTCTTTTATAGCACAAATTACAATTATAATTACATTTTCTATAATATTTTATTATAATTAAGCAACAATAATTATGGCAATCACAATTCTTGTCTAGTTTAAAACTATATATTATAGATTAAAACCATTAACATAATTGGTTTTCATTTTGTTTAAAAAAGTAATTTATTGTTGTAAATTTATTTTTTATATTTATAATTGAATTGTTTTTCAAATGGCATATTTAATAAGATTAAAATAATCATTCAATTTTTAAATAATTTTTATAATATACATAGTTTTTTATTGTCAATGGTAAATCTTAGTTGTTTTAATTATTCTCAATTATGTTTTTATTATAAATAATTTAAATACAAAAAACATTTTTACAGTATTGGTCAGATGGGAATTGGGTACTACGGCGAGTTAAAAGGTTTTTTAACACTTTAAATAACATTGAACAAAATTCAAGTGGTTTACAAATCGGGGAAATATTGAGTTTATTAAATAAATTTCCGTTTATTTAGAGTTTGTATTTTGTGTATAAACAATACACAAGTCAAAAAAGAAAAACCATCAAAATTTTGATTAATATCCATGTAAAAACAGGCCAAATCAAAAATAAGGGTGTTTTTTAAGTGTTAATGTAATTTTGAATTGAACTTTTAACAATTAAATAATCGATTTAATTAATCATGTTTTTCATGGTTAGTCAAAAACTATAAGGGAATTAATATCTTAGTAGTAATTATTTTTGAGATTGATTTAAAAGTTTTTTTAATTAACGGTTATTTTGTTAAAATAATTTTTAATGTGTTTGTAATGGTTATCATTAATTAAAAAATATAATTTATAATTCATAAATATAGAGTCAGTCTTTTAAAGTTATCTGGTGGACAAAAAATAGTTTTAATTTTGTTTAAACAA